GAAACTATGGGAAGTGGCGGGGAAGACGACAATTCAACAAACATGGAGAATATGGGGAAGCCTGTTGTTTGTGTGTATTCATTTGTGTGTCCCAGGGCCCCTTCAGATGAACGGCTTCTGCAGGCTTGATCCGGTCCGGGTAAACGACTTCGGCCTCGGCAGCAGGGGGGTCGCGAGAGCTCGCCGGTGCCGGGCCTGGTGGCCGCCAGCGGGCGGCTCGGCTCGCAGAGCGCCTGGCCTTCCCAGACCTCCGACGTCGTGGTCTTTCGGCACGTGGCTGTCGGACCTCTTCACGAGCGGCGCACGTGTCCGTATCCGCCCCCTGGCGGTCTGGATTCCCGGGCGCGATCCCGCGGATACGCGGTCGCATGGGCACGTTCCGCGCGGGGCATTCGCGACAACAGCGCCCCGTATCCGCAGAGGCGTGGCCCAGGGGCCTTGCGAGCGCGAGGCCGTGGAGACGGATATGTTTTTCGCCCACGACCGCCCAGCCACGTGCAGAGGGGGTCATGGGGGGGGAAGGTGTTGAAAGGCACCCTGCTTCTTAGAAGGCGCGGGCCGAGTCTACAGACGAAGGGCTGGCGCCTTCTAAGAAGCGGCCTCCTTCCAAGAAGCCTTTCCTCCTCCCCCTGCCCGCCCCCCACGCCAGTCCCGGCCTCCCGCCTGCGCGCTCGTCGTCGCCTGCCTGCCCCTCCCCTCTCCCCCCCTCTCCGCTGGGCAGCAAAGCCTGCCCGGGAGCAGCGTGGAGCCTCGTGGGTGAGACGTAAGGATGGTCGCATCGATGGCTTTTTGGGCCCCTCCCCACAGGCCGCTCTTCGAGCCCAGCCTTCTCTCAGCCCGCGTCACCGAGGACCCACCGAGCGGCTCCCGGGCGGCCGGCAGCGGGAGCACATCGGCGTCACCCCAAAATATTAATGCTATGTGCGCGTTGCACCCTCCCAGGGGCGACGCGCGCATCGAGAAATCTGAACGTACATGCGTCGTGGCGGCCGCTTTCTGGCCACGCACCGCTCGGGAAACGACGTACTGCAAGATGGGTATACTATATGTTCGGGTCGGACGCGCGCCTACAAGGAGGGCGCATAGTTCTAGCATAAAATCGGGCATGCCCCCCCTACAGGGGGAATATTCAAGAACAGTCAAAGAAATAATCAGGGGACGTTTTTTTTTTTGTTTGTTTTTTCTTTTTTTTTGTGTGTGTGTGTGTGTGTGTGTGTGTGTGTTTTTGTTTAAAAAACAATTCTCCACTACATTGGAATTTGTTTTGACATTTTTTTTTCGTCCAAAATCCCCCTGTAGGAGGACACGCCCGACTTACATATAGTACTAGCATGCCTCTGTGCGTCCCAGCACAGCTCCGCGCCGACGCCCTCGAGACGCCAGGGGCCGCTCCCCTCGGTGCTCTCCAGCGCGGCCGGCGGGCCCAGGGGTGCGCGGATGGGACCTGGCGCGGGGCTCGCGGCTGGCCGTCCCGGCGCTCCGACTCGGCCTAGCGTTAAGTCGGGCGTATCCTTCTACAGGGGGAATATTCAAAAATAGTGAAAACATGATCGACCCAGGAACCCGGAAAGGAATATAGACATGTGAGGCATGGCAACTTTTCAAAGACATCTGATTTGGCGACGGGCAAATTCAATGCTGAGTGCATCGATCTTGATGTACCGTGCCGAGGGCTGTGCTGTGCTGCGCCGTGCTGAACTGCGATGTGCCATGCCGCGATTGTGTTCTATAGTGTTGTGGATCGAGTCCTCCTTTGCATCCGAGTCCTGACCGAACTGATCTGGATCTTCAGGTCGAGCTGCCTGAGCACGTAGTAGCTGCCCCAGAGCTAGTTGACAGAGGGACATGCTAGGAGGACGCGCCGCGGAACTTCCAAGGGACGCGCCAGGCGACGTGCCAGGAGACGTGCCATGGGGACCCACCGCGGGACGTGCCAAGGGGACGCGCTGCGGAACGTGCCAATGGACATGCCACGGGACGTGCCAGGGGACGCGCCGCGCGACTTGCCAGGCCAGGGGAACTCGCCACGGGACGCGCCACGGAACGTGCCAGGGAACGTGCCAAGTTGCAATGCTGAGTGTATCGATCTTGATGTGCCGTGCCGAAGGCTGTGCTGGGGCCTTCTTGCGCCTCCTGGGGCGTTAGGAACCCATGTGTTTTTGCGCTTCTCCCGCCCTGGGTCGTTAGAAACCCATGTGTTTTCACGCTTGTCCCGCCCTGGGGCGTTAGGAACCCATGTGCTTTCACGCTTCTCCCGCCCTGGGGCGCTAGGACCCCACATGTTTTCACATTTGCCCCGCCGTGGGGCGTCAGGAACCAATGTGGATTCACGCTTCTCCCGCCCTGGGGCGTTAGGAACCATGTGTTTCATGCTGGTCCCGCCCTAGGGAGTTAGAAATCCATGTGTGTTCACGCTCCGCCTCCTGGGGCGTTCTGGGGTGCGGGGGGAAGCGAAAAGCACTCCCCGAATCCATATCCCAATGCAGGACATTCGTAAAACAAGCATTTGACTTGAGATATCCTCTGAATTCTGGTCCCCAGGAGAGGATCACTCTATAACGCTAAAGAAGCGTTTCGCTCGAGCCATCTTCAACGAATTATGAGAACAAGCGTTTCGCTCGGGACATCCTCAACATCATGTTATATATCCCCCTGTGTGGCCAGGGCACGTGAAAACACGTCGTCCCAGCTCGGGGCCACCATGTTAGATATCCCCCTTGGTGGCCTGGACACATGAAAACACGAGGTTCCAGCTCGGGACCACCATGTTAGATACCCCCCTGGGTGACCTGGACACGCGAAACCACGTGGTTCCAGCTCGGGACCACCATGTTAGATACCCCCCTGGGTGGCCTGGATACGCTGAATTCGCGCTCCCGCTCGAGACATCCTCGCAATGTCCTCCCTGGAGAGGCACCCAAGGCGCCACCCCCTGTCCAGAGCAAGAAAACACTTTTCTGGATTGGGATCTGTGTTCGGGTAGCGCTTTTCGGCCCCCCGTTTCCTCGTAATTCGGCGTTGGGCCCGACGCCATGTTAGATACCCCGTTGGGCGGCCTGGACACGTACAAACACGTAGTTCCAGTTCGGGAAAATCATGTTAGATACTCCACTGGGTCGCCTGGACACGTAAAACATGTGGATCCCTGGGTGGCCTGGACACGTTCAAACACGTGGTCCTTGCTCGGGACAGCCATGTTAGATACCTCTCTGGGTGGCCGGGACACGTAATAAAAACACGTCGTGCCAGTTCTGGGCAACCATGTTAGATACACCCTTGGTTGGCCTGGACACGTTAAAACACGTGGTCCTTGCTCGGGACAGCCATGTTAGATACCCCTCGGGTGGCCTGGACAAGTAAAAACACATGGTGCCAGCTCGGGACCACCATGTTCGATACACCCCTGAGTGGCCTGGACACGTGAACACACGCGGTCCTTGCTCGGGACAACTATTGTAGATACCCCCTGGGTGGCCTGGACAAGTAAAAACACATGGTGCCAGCTCGGGACCACTATGTTAGATACACCCCTGAGTGGCCTGGACACGTGAAAACACGTGGTCCTTGCTCGGGACTGTCATGTTAGACACCCTCCTTGTGTGGCCTGGGCACGTAAAAACATGTGGTTCCAGCTCGGGACAACCATGTTAGATATCTCCTTGGGTGACCTGGGCTTTAGTGGGGCCTCCTGGAGAGGGCCAATCTATAGAAACATATGTAAAAACCAACGGATTCGTGCCCCTGGAGAGGGCCAATTTATGGGAACACGCGTAGGAACATATGGATTCGTGCCCCTGACTCAAATGTGTCCTGCACCCTTTGCTTTATCGGTCGGAATTTCAAAAACCAGCGTTTCGCTCGGGACATCCTCAAATTTTAATTCGCGGCCCTACGCGACCTGGTATTTATCGCAAATCAATTCGCCAGCTTTACCAAAACTAAATGAGAACCTTGGGCCTTAGCCCTTTCTGGGAGATAGTCAGGGGACGATTTTTGGATTCTTTTCGGGCTATGTTTGAGCATTTTTTGACAATTTGTATTTTTCCTCCAAAATCCGCCTGTAGGGGGACACGCCCGATCTAAGCCTAGTGCCTGGGCTGGACCGGCTCTGGCGTCGGGCGGCGGACCCACCGTGGAAGGGAGGAGGGCGTAGAAGCAGAACATCTTTCGGAGCGCCGCGCGGGTGTCTTGGATCGGCGCCTGGGCGCCGCCCTGGCGGCGCCTCTGGCGGCGCCCCTGGTTGCGCCCCTGGCGCGCTCCGCGCGCTGGGGAGGGGGTTCCAGCTCAGATTCAAGAACTTCCCGCGGACCTCCACAAATTTGCGTTTATGTTGTCGTTTCTTTGTCTAGCCATGGAAGAGACGAAGGCGGGGCCTGAGGGAAAGATGTGTCCTGAGTGTCTTCGCAGTTTTTCGTCCCGCTGGGGCCCTCCCCCCTGGGCCCCAGGATCGCCCAACGCCAGCCTGACTTGGGATGAAACGGAGACGGCGGTCTCGGGGAAAGTCCTCGGACCCAGGACCCGTTTCCCTCAGGATTCGCTTCCTTCATGGCATGAGATCCGCGGGGAGGACTCCGGGGCCGGGGCACGGGCCCCCCCCTCAGTCAGTCACGAGCCTGGAATGGCCTGACTTCGGCGGCGCGCAGTCTTGGAAAGGATCGGCGGAGGCTTCTGAGAAAGCTGCCTGGGGGGCATGAGGGTTTCTAATCATGCCCATGACTTCCTGACCCCCCGTCGTCCCACCTCTAACGCGCGCCTCAAGTTTAGGATGCAACTCCTGGCAGCATCCGCGCTGGTAGATCCGCAGGCGAATACAGCCTGATCCAGCGTTGTCCTGTTTGATCCCGCTGGATCCAGTCCACTTCGGCACACTCTGGCTCAATCATGGGCTCAGTCTGGGCCACTCTGGCTCAGTGGCCTTCACATGTGGCCGGGGAGCCCCTCCTCGTGCCTCACGAGGATCTCCCGCCAGCTGCTGCCCGGGCTGGTGCCCGCGGCCCGAGGTTTTGGTGATCCTCCTCGTCACCTGCGCGGAGATCTCGATCATGCTGACCTACTTCCAGCTCACGGCGGAGAACCACAGGTGGTGGTGGCGGTCGTTCCTGGGCAGCGGCGCTTCGGCGACCGCCGCCTCGCCTTCTTCCGCGTGCTGTGCTGCGGCCTCCCGGCAAAAGAACGTCCCGCGGAGAAGATCGGGCAGCGCCAGGGCATCGAGGATCGAGGCAGAGTTCTGGAGGGTGAGGAGAAGGGAGGATCGAAGATCGGAGAGGTCCTGGACGTTCCTGGGCGTATTTTTTTTGACTCTTTTGGGATCTATTTGGATTATTTTTTATCTTTATTCCACATTCAGCCTGTAGGAGGACCTGCCCGACCTCCTGGGCGTCTTTCTTAGGGTAGTCCTGGGTGGCTCTGGGGCTTCATGGGGGCCCGTTCCCTGGAGAGGAGCTGGCGACCCCCTGCGTGATGACCCTCTTTGGCATTGCCTGGGAAGGGAAGAAAGTCACACCCAGCGGGGCCTGAGCGCAGAGGAGCTTAGCTGCCCTGGTACGCCCGCTTTGAACCGCAACACGTACCGTGTTCAAAACTTCCGTGTTAACGCGTTGCGTGTTGGCCCCGCGCGTTGGCCCACGTTTTGGCGAACGCGCCGCGCCAGGCGTACGTTTTCGACCTGCGTGTCGAGCTCCGTGTCACCACGCCGCGTGTTGCGCGTTGCGTAGAGGAGAACAACGTACCGATATCGATGCCCTGCCTCGCTGTCGTCTTTGAAAACAGGTATGTTTGGATGCCAACGGCGAACTTTCTACTTTAGGCGCCTTCTTACCTCAAGAGTCGAGCGGTCTTCCCTCTTCCCTTCTCTTCAGGGGGCGGGCGGAAGCCCAGCCTACTTCCAACGCCTTCCTACTACCGACTTCTTCCCACCGAGGGTTACCGAAACCGATGCCCTGCCTCGTGGCCGCCTTTTTCTTGGGGGTGGGGCTCGCCGCCGCGGCCGGACTCTTCTTGGAAATCCTGGTCAGAGCATGCCCCGGGTGCAGCGGTGTTTCCGTTCTCCCGCTGCCGAAGCCCCACTGTGTGTTTGGTTTGGTGCGAGCTTGAGGGAGTGCGGGCCTTGTAGGCGTGTTAATACCAGGCCCCCCGATGTTGACCGCCTCGGAGCGCGTGTCTGAACGCGCTGGACGAGGCGACAGTTCATCCGCCCAAGTGGGAAGCCAGGAGCTTACGGTGCCTCTGCTTTCCACACTCGAAGACGCCGACGGCGAACCACCGTCACCACCTGCCTTTCGTTGAAGTTGGGCCAAAGCTGGGCCAAGCTATTGAACTGTGTGGTTCTTCCCCCAGCCGTTGTGGAAACCCTCGGCGAGAACACTTGGGAAAGGAAGATTGTGGATGAGGAGATGGATGATGATGATGATGATGATGATGATGATGATGATGATGATGATGATGCTGATGATGATGATGATGATGATGATGATGATGCTGATGATGATGATGATGATGGTGATGGTGATGCTGATGCTGATGCTGATGCTGATGATGATGATGATGCTGATGCTGCTGCTGCTGATGATGATGATGATGATGATGATGATGATGATGATGATGATTGAAGGTGATGAGGAGGAGGACACGGAGAAGGAAGATGAAGAGGAGGCCTTCTTGGCGTTCCCTCTCTGAAAGCTCTCGCGCCGAGACGCTGAGAGCCTTTGTCGTCAACTTCCGAAGATTCTCTAGGATCCTTCATTATGCCAGGCATCAAGTGCGTCGGGTTTTCCCAGTATGGTTTGCTGGGAATAGCGATACAGCGTGGAGACATCCTTTCATGGTAGCTGCAAGCTGCCAGGATGTTCCTGATGCCGAGTACGTAGATGTCTCAGCCCACCGAAGTGGTCATAGATGACGGGAGGCTTGCAGTGCAGGGACGGGCTTCACCGATGGAATGTTCGGCAGCATCTAGGTTCGTTAAGCCGGTCGCACGCCGTTTTGTTAGAGGCATGAAAGTGCTCACCAGTGTCGCGAAGCGCAGCCATGGCTCATTTCTCAGAGGGTGTGGACTTGCAGAGGAAGAGTTGATGCCTTTCGCACTAGTCTTAGTCAGCCTGCCGCACCCCACTAGAGCACCGACTTCGTCGGTTGACAGTTGTTGAGTGCTGCTTGTCGTTTCATGGATCTCGTTCGTGGTGCAGCGTGGTTTCTCAATGTTATTCAGCTGTTCGATTTTTGCATGTCTGTGTATGCTTCGCAAGGGCACGCGCTTGTTTTGTTATGCGGCCACCGTCTGTTGTTCCAGATCGTTTCGCAACTGATGTGTTCCGAAGTCCGCCCGCATGTTCTTACAGGCGTGAATTTCTATAGGCTGTTTGCACAACGTCCCCGCGGTTCAGCAGAGGACGTGCTAGCCTGGCGTGGCTGTCACCACCATGATCAACACGCGTGGATACCATGATCACCAAGAGTGTCTTTCCGTCGGCCCCATCAGTTTGTTTCGGCTCCTTCTACATGCCGCGCGGTTTCCTTGCCGCGCGGTTTCCTTGTCGCGGTATTTCCTGATTAGTCTTGGATTCTTGCTCACGGTGGGCGGACAGCGAGGCGATGTACGTCTTCCTGTACTCCATGTTTTACTTCACGAACAGGACTGCCTGTCTTTCTGCGCCAGTGTTTCTTTCTGCTCCTGGCGTGTCCCAATGTGCTTGGACGGCCGAGCAATACATCTCCCACCTTTCCTTGTCCAGCATCAGCCACAAGGTCTTCCACTGCCACTTCAGGGCTGGTGGGCCTGCATGCAGACATGAGGATTCGTGGCCCCGTGGCTGGTCGTGGTATGCATCGTTGCTTTTTGCATTGAGGCTGCATTGCTTTTGTATTTTTTCCATTGCCTTGCGCGGCATTCAAATCACCTTTTAGTTCCGTTTTCCGTTTGTCAGTCTTTTGCATGATGTTCGCATGTAGCTTGCAAATCTTGCAATCATTCAGCATCGATTCCATGCACTTTATTTGCCTTTTATGGCTCTGCGCATGGCGTTGCATTGCTTTGGCATTGATTTTGCATTGCTTTGTGTTGCATCGGTATTGCCATGTGTGTTAGATTGCATGCGCATTGCTTTCCATTACGTTCCATATCAGCGTATTGTTGCTTTGGGTTGCCATGCAACATCATAAGCATCGCGTTGTCGCAACAATTCTAGTTGCAGCGCATGTCTTTTCGCTGCATCGGTACTGTATTGCTTCCGAGTGTGCGACGTGCGTGTGCTTATATATATATATGTATACACACGGTACAGATCTACATTCCGAACACCGCGATGGCATTTAGAGGTTCTTTCTCCTTGTCTAGGGAGCTGTGCCTGCCCGTCGGTACAGCGGCTATGTGCTCGCTGTCGCCGCCCTGTCGCCGCCCCGTTGCCGCCCGCCTTCTTGGCCTGCCCGTCGGTCTGGCGGCTATGTGGGCGCAGTCGCCGCCCCGCCGCTCCAGGCCTGCCCGTTGGTCTGGCAGCCGTGTGGTCGCCGTCGCCGCCCCCGTCGCCGTCTGGGCCTGCGTTACCTGGTGGTGCTTTGCGTTACTTTGCCTTGCATGCCATCGGTTAGCATTTCTTTCTGTGCGTTGCTTTGCGCTAGTTTGCATCGTTTTGCATCGTTTTGCATTGCTTTGCCTTGCGTTGCATGACTGTGCCTTGAATTATGCTACATCGGTTGCACAACACAGAATGCACCATGTAGAGTGCACCACGTATATTCTCATTCCCAAAAAACAATTAGGATCCCCCCCTCCGGGTTTATCGGTACACCTCTTTGTGCTTCAATTTGCATGAAATTCTGCCCTTCGTCCATCCTGAATATAGAATCGTACCATCCCAGCCCACTTGGTATCGACCCCCTCGTCACCTTTTGCAAACCATAATATGCGCGCGCACTCGTTTATCAACAATCAGCAGTTTTCATGAACCCCCTGGAAAATGAGACGAAGTGCGCACGCGCGCGTCGTCGCGCGCGCATGCCGAATCCATCCGAAACCTTCGTAAGGGTTTCAACTTCGAATGTAAAATACATGTAACCATGATCGGCCCACGAACCCAGAAAGGAACATTGACATGTAAGGCATGGCAACGTTTCGAAGACATCTGATTGGGCGACGGGCAAGCGCAATGCTGAGTGTATCGATCTTGATGTACCCTGCCGAGGGCTGTGCTGTGCTGCGCCGTGCTGAATTGCGATGTGCCAGGCTGCGATTGTGCTTTATAGCGTTGTGGGTCGAGTCCTCCTTCGCATCCGAGTCCTGACCGAACTGATCTGGATCTTCAGGTCGAGCTGCCTGAGCACATCGTAGTTGCCCCAGAGCTAATTGACAGGGGGACATGCTAGGAGGACGCGCCGCGGAGGGTCCCAAGGAACGCGCCAAGCGACGTGCCAGGGGACGTGCCGCGGGGACGCATCGCGGGACGTGCCAAGGGGGCGCGCTACGGAACGTGCCAACGGACGTGCCACGGGACGTGCCAGGGGACGCGCCGCGCGACGTGCCAGGGGGACGCTCCACGAGACGCGCCACGGAACGTGCGAAGGAACGTGCCAGGTTGCAATGCTGCGTGTATCGATCTTGCTGTACCGTGCCAGGGGCTGTGCTGTGCTGCGCCGTGCTGAACTGCGATGTGCCATCCCGCGATTGTGTTCTATGGTGTTTGTGGATCGAGTCCTTCTTTGCATCCGAGTCCTGACCGAACTGATCTGGATCTTCAGGTCGAGCTGCCTGGGCACATCGTAGCTGCCCCAGAGCTAGGTGACAGGGGGACATGCCAGGAGGACGCGCCGCGGAACGTCCCAAGGGACGCGCCAAGCGATGTGCCAGGGGACGTGCCGCGGGGACGCACCGCGGGACGTGCCAAGGGGGCGCGCTACGGAACGTGCCAATGGACATTGGACACGTGAAAACAAGTGGTTCGCTCGAGACAGCCTCAACAACTCTTCATGTTAGACGTCCGTTCCAGGTCTCCAGGAAGGCCCCTGGAGGCCAAGTTAGATACACCCTGGGTTGCCTGGACACGTTAAAGCACTTGGTTCTGCCATGTTGAATACCTCCCCTGGGCGGCCTGGACACGTAAAACCCCGTGGTTCCAATTCGGGACAATCAGGTTGGGTGGCCTGGAGTCGTGAACACACATGGGACCAGGTTTGGACAACCATGTTAGAGACCCCTTCTGGGTGGCCTGGGCACGTAAAAGCACTTGTTTCAAGCTCGGGGCAACCATTTTAGATGCCCCCCCCCCTGGGTGGCCTGGGCACGTAAAACATTTGGTGCCAGCTCGGGGGAACAATTTTCGATACCCCCATGGGTGGCCTGGACGCGTTCAAACACGCTGTCCTTTCTCGGGACAATCATGTTAGAGACCCCCGTGGGTGGCCTGGAGAATTAAAAACACTTGGTTCCAGCTCGGGGGAACCATGTTAGAACCCCCCCTGGGTGGCCTGGGCATTTAAAAACACGTGGTTCCAGCTCGGGGCAACCTGATTAGATACTTCCTGCGTGGCTTGGATACTCTAAATTCGCGCTCCCACTCGAGACATCCTCGCAATGTCTTCCCTGGAGAGGCCCCCGAAGCGCACCCCCCCTGTACAGAGCAAGAACACATCATTTTTCTATATTGGGATATGTGGTCGGGTAGCGCTTTTCGGCCCTCCGTGCGTTTCCTGATAATTCGGCGTCGGGCCCGACGCTATGTTAGGTACCCCCCTGGGCGGGTTGGACACGTAAAACAACGTGGCTCCAGTTCGGGACAATCATGTTAGATACCCCACTAGGTGGCCTGGACACGTTAAAACATGTGGATCCAGCTCTGGGCAACCATGTTAGATACAACCCTGGGTGGCCTGGACAATTTAAAACACGTGGTCCTTGCTCGGGACAACCATACCCCCCTGGGTGACCTGGACAAGTAAAAACGTGGGTGCCAGCTCGGGACAACCATGTTAGATACCCCCCTGGGTGGCCTGGACATGTAAAGCACGTGGTCCTTGCTCGGGGCAACCATGTTAGAGACCCCCGTGGCCAGGACACGTAAAAACACGTGGTGCCAGCTTGGAACAACCATTTTAGATGCCCCCCTGGGTGGCCTGGACGCGTTCAAACACGCTGTCCTTTCTCGGGACGATCATGTTAGAGACCCCCGTGGGTGGCCTGGAGAATGAAACAAACATGGTTCCAGCTCGGGACCACCATGTTGGATACCCCTCTGGGTGGCCTGGACACGTGAAAAAAGGTGATTCCATCTCGGGACCATCAAGTTGGATACCTCCCTGATGGCCTGCACACGTAAAGACCCAAGGTTCCAGCCCACCCAGGGGGGATATCCAACATGCGGTTGTCTGGGGCGCCAGCTCGGGACCACCAATTTGGATACCTCCCTGATGGCCGACCTGGGCATGTGAAAACAAGCATTTCGTCGGAGACATCCTTTTAATTCTTGCCCCCCACGAGGCCCCCGCTCGAGACATCCCCCAACTCTGCAAAACCAGCGTTTGTTTCGAGACATCCTCAAATTCCGAAAAACAAGCGTTTCGCTCGAGACATCCTCAAACATCATTTCGCCGGCCCTATGCGACCTCGTTATTCATCGCAAATAATTCCGCCGGCCCTACAGCCTTCGAAACCGGGGGGGGACCATCTACAAGAGAACCCTGGGCCCGTGCCCTTTCCGGGAAATACTTTTGATTTCGCAACACGGATTTACAAACATGATCGACCCACGAACCCGGAACGGAATACATGGAACGCATGGCAGCGTTTGCAAAGACACCTGATTGGGTGACGGGCAAATGCAATGCTGAGTGTATCGATCTTGATGTACCCTGCCGAGGGCTGTGCTGTGCTGCACCGTGCTGAATTGCGATGTGCCATGCCGCGATTGTGCTCTATGGCGTCGTGGATCGAGTCCTCCTTTGCATTCGAGTCCTGACCGAACTGATCTGGATCTTAAGCTCGTTCTGCATGAACACATAGTAGTTGCCCCAGAGCTAATTTGACAGGGGGACATGCCAGGAGGACGCACCGCGAAACGTCCCCAGGGACGCGCCAGGCGACGTGCCAGGGGACGTGCCATGGGGTCGCACCGCGGGACGTGCCAATGGTTGTGCCACGGGATGTGCCAGAGGACGCGCCACGCGACGTGCCAGGGGGACTCGCCAAGGGACGTCCCACGGAACGTGCCAAGGAACGTGCCAGGTTGCAATGCTGAGTGTATCGATCTTGCTGTACGGTGCCGAAGTCTGTGCTGTGCTGCGCCGTGTTGACCTGTGATGTGCCATGCCGCGATTGTGCTTCATAGCGTCGTGGATCGAGTCCTCCTTTGCATCCGAGTCCTGACCGAACTGATCTGGATCTTAAGCTCGAACAGCCTGAACACATAGTAGCTGCCCCAGAGCTAATTGACAGGGGAACATGCCAGGAGGACACGCCGCGAAACGTCTCAAGGGACGCGCCAAGCGACGTGCCAGGGGACGTGCCATGGGGACGCACCGCGGGACGTGCCAAGGGGACGCGCTACGGAACGCGCTGGGGACAAGCGTTTCGCTCAAGACATCCTGTCAAAACCCTCATGCTAGACATCCGCCTGAGCCACCTGGACACGTGAAAACAAACGTGTCA